GCTCTGGCAAGCAAAGTTTTGCCAGTTCCAGGTGGGCCGTATAATAAAACACCTTTCGGTTGGGCGATGCCGAGGGCTTCAAACAACTCAGGATGCTTCACAGAAAGTTCAATCACCTAGAAAGGCAATAGATCCTATAAGTCGACAGTTGAACCTTATACAACTCTTCAATCGTACCTCTTTAATCTCTTTAATTTGCTTATCGAGACCACCGATCATTTCATACGTAGCGTCTGGCACCTTCTCAATCATCATCAGTGAGACAAGAGGATCAACCTAACAGGGCAAAACACTGTCAGAAATAGCCTTTCAAATAAAACATTCATAAAATATTGCAAAAAAAATGTGCGCAAAAGTTTTTTACAACGGAAATTCTTGTGAAAATACCTTATTCGGCAGAACTTTGTGCAGAACATAATTGTCGGCCCGAAGAGCAACGCGACAATCGGCGCTAATAGATTGAACATCAATTCCTTCGTCAACGTCCACCACATACTTTTCTCCAGGATGGATCTAACAATGTTCGAAACAGTGTTAGAATAAGTGTTTGAATGTATGTGCATTAAAGGCACTATTAAACTGTATCACTCGCCTAATTCGCATAAGAGATATCGAGCCGGTTCATCGCGAGGCTACTTGGAGCGTCTCCAGTTCGCGTAAAAGGGGTTAATCACGGACTAAAGGCTACTTTTGCTTTCCTAAGACGCAGTTGGATTTAAAGGATAGACTCTCTGATTCGGTTACGCCGATATGGGACATACTTTCTATATTTACGAGTCGTACTCATGCATACATGCGTGGATGTATTTTCGTGTATGCGGGCTGCATTCTAGGAGCAAATTCGCCCAAAAGTCTGCAATCAGGTGGAAGGGACGAATGCGAGAGGCAGTTAGGAATCGTCTCCAACAAATAACCTTCACTTCCACGCTGGAAGAGACCAGCAGGATACCTGTGAGCACACTCCGCCCTCACATTAAGAGTCAGAGGTTGGCAGGATACACGTTGATATCAAAGAGCTAGGCACAGTAGAAGAAACGGACCTCATCTTCCTCACCCATTCGGCAGCGTACGATTGGTCAACTATGGTAAGGCCGGTAAAATTTTAAGGCCATTCCAAGCTGCTTATATACCAGAGGACTATGGTCACGATCTGTACCTATAATGCACGCACACTTGCATCTGAGTCCTCGATTGAAGATCGTGCAAGCAACGATATACAGGTACGACGTCATCGGACAAGCAGAGTCAGGGCCATGCCACCCATTCAATGCCATCTATGACACCGGAGAACAACTGTTCCTCGGAAAATGCGACAATAGAGAAGTCTGTGGCGTCGGAGTTCTAGTCAACATGAGTTGGGCCATGAACACCGATTCATTCGAACGACTAACAAACCGAATCAAAGATTTACGACTGAAAAGGTGTGGATCAATACCGGATTTGATAATGTTCGTCGTTTAGAAGCCGACATCAAACTAAGACGAAGAAGAAGTGGAGGCGTTTTATGTGGAGTTGGATAACTTTTACAGAGTAGACCCATGCACTCTTCACGGTCATTCATCATTGGAGATTTTGTCGCTAAGACTGGAGCAAGAAGAACGTCTGTGAAAGGTCATCTTTCCAGCTAGGAATAAGAATGAAACGAGCAGACTTGGCAACCGTCAGAGTTTACCATCGTGGTCAAGATCATTCATGTTAATTTGCAACTCCAGAGTCCTGCCCTCAACGCTAGACGTGGGAGTCTCCCAATGGACAGTAGCATTACGAAATAACCCACATCTTAGTGAATCGAACGCTTTGCCTAACTGACGTCGCTGCTGTCTCAAAAATCTACACGGGATCAGACCATCACCTACTTCGTGTAAGATTCCACTTTCCGAAAAAAAAGAGAAAAGACTGCAAAAAAATCTAAAAACGAAGTCCCAAACCACCATAAGCAGGGCTTATTCAGTTCATTTGTACGCCGTTCGGAGGATGCTCTTATCGACAACATCCACGAGCAATGCGATTGGCTCATTCAACATTCTCATCTTAAAAAAAGCTCTCGGCGTTGATTAATTTCTGAGAAATGCACCGCGCATTCGACTTCAGTAAGTACCGCTGGGGGTGATTGAATGCATATACGGCCATCACAATAACTCGCGGTGGCCTATCGATCTATCGAGCCAGTGCTGCTATCCTCCCAGACAAGTTTGGTACCAATTTGCCAACTCTGTAGGGATGGAAGGCTTGGTGATCTATGGGCACGGGGATCGATTGCACGTGCGTGTCACAGTGACGCTTCCAACCACTGCACCACACCAGCCCTATATTCTCACAATAGTGCTGTGAAAGCTGAGAGCACGAAAGTCACTAAGAGACCTCTGCCTATAAAAACATTCGAGCTGCTAGGCCAACGCGAAATCGCATGAGCTGCAGCCAACTAACGCCCGAACTTGCAAAACAATGCAGAATAGCGATAAAAAAGATCTTAAGGAGAACAGAATACTATTTGCAATCGAGGTAGCAGGGGCCTGGAAAAGAATTTGCGAAAAACACCGAAGCTTCGCCAATTATAGTACCAAGATGATTGCACACCTACGACCAGACAGAACAGTTACAGCGTCCAAAAAGGTAAAGCAGAAAATCAATTGCGACTACGGCACAGATATAAATCATGCCATCGGTTCCTAATTCCTGAATGCGGTATACTATTTCGTCGCTGAAAATCGAACGGTACATGGTCCGGAGAGGACAAGATTTGAACACTTGAAGAACCTTCCGCTCGTCCCCTTAAATACACCGGCTCGGCTCTTCGCACGGTATCTTTCTGAGAGCGAGGTACCTATTCAGTGGAAGACAAGCAACACAGTGCTATTGTTCAAAAAGTATGACCTTCACGATATCGTGTGCTACCGCCCAATCTGCTTGTAGTCTGTCGTTTACAAACTTTTCAGTCGAGTCATTCTAAACAGGGTTGACAGAACGCTGAATGAAAGAAAGTTATGTGAGTAAGCAAGGTTTTGAAGAGGATTCAGTACGGTGGATCGCATTCACACGATAACAAAACTCATTGAAGTTTCGCCAAGGTATAGATGGGCTCTCTGTCTCAGTTTCATCAATTTAGGGAGGGTTTTTGACTTAGGTGAGGTAGAAGCAGTCATAGAAGTCTTGGACATTCAGGTAGTCCCTACTCAGTACATAAAGATTGTTTGTAAGCTGAGTAAAAATTTCATAACCGAGATATCAGTCTTCTAAAACGATATTAACGTCGACGTCAAAATAAGGCCTAGACAAGGCGATACGATCTCGCTAAAACTGTTTACCGGCACCCTCGAAAACGTCATGCGAACATTGGAATCAAACAAGGTGAGAGTGAAAAACGATGGTCGGCAATTATACCATCTTCTCTTTGCTGATGACGTCGTTCGTATAACGCCGAATATTATCCAGATGAAACGAATTGATGAAGCCCGTTTGAAAATTGGTCTCAGGCTAGGCTGTATCTCCGAAAACGTTGTTCATGAGAAACGGATTGGTTTCGTATGCTCCATTCACGCTCGAAGGTACGAATATCTCCGATGGCTCCAGTTATGAGTATCTAGGTCAGAAAATTAACGTAATCAAAGAGTTAGCTCCAGAGTTGGGCAGAATGAAACGAGCGGCTTTGGAAGCTTTCAAGACCATCGCGGATGTACTCAAGATACCAAAGAGCACCTGACTCCATGCCTAGCTTTTCGACTCCATGACACTTCCTTCCTTAATGTATGCGTCAAAAACGTCGTCGGCGCCTAAGCACGATGAAAGATCACTGACAGTTGCTGAATGCAAAGTCGAAAGGACGATGATAGGAGAATCCTGTATCGCACAAGAAAGGGTAGTAATCTGATGCTCCAACTTTCGTCAACGTTCAAAAATCAAATACGCCGTTCTGTACGCCAAACAGTCGAAAATAAGGTGAGCCGGACACGTAATGCGCGTGAATGGCAACTGATGGAAAAGAGCCGTTAGGCACTGGATTTCTCAGGGTGTCAAACGCATTGCAGTAAAACCACCGAACCTACGGTCAGCGTTGTTCACGGAAAGCCTAGAAGAAAGATATAATGCTTGACGACACCCTAGAGTGAGCAGAGCGCACTGGAATACTCACACTGCACGCGACAGGGAGAAATAGAAGATTTACTGGCGTCCGCTCGACTCACCCGACCATTGGCGTGGCGATAAGTGGTACAAGGGAGGTGACGAAACTACACACCTTTACCAAAACCTTCTTCTTGTCCAAGACTTTGCTCGCTTCTGCAACATAGCTTTCCTGTTCATTGAGTTGCTGCAACTCTTCCCTGAGCATACGAACCTACAAAAATTATCAACAGTAGAAATTCTTGCAATATAACTGATCCTTCAACATGCTACAAAAGCAGAACTTTTTAACAAACCCTAGAATTGAGCTCGTCTCGTTGTGCTTGTAGGCGCAGAACATTTTGCCTCTTCTCCATAACCTTCTGCTGAAATCAAATATGAAACATATCTTTACTTTAAAATCATTTACCCACTTACTCATTAAAATAGTTCTTATACAATAAGAAAGGGACAGCGAGAATATTATTTCATAAGTAGGCACTTCTATATCAGCCTCGAATAAAGTTATTGTACTGAAGAAACTCACATCTTTAATACATTTTAATAAAATTACAAGAAAACACTGATTGAGAACGGGTTTTAACAAATAACGACTGTCCAAATTTAACGTGAGTACTGAAGGTGTTCATCCGGTTAGAACACGTCAACGGAGGCATGTTAAGCTTGCGCGGTAAGGCCAACCTATTAGCTGTGTCCCAAACAAGTGCTGCGAGACAGAACTAAACTTCATATACTTATAAAAGAACACTTAACTAATAAACAATAAACTAGGTACTCCTAGGAAGGGGTAAAAACGCTCACCTGAGCCTCATCGATTTTAGCTTTGAAGTACTTCCTCAGAGAATGTTCATCTGCATTTGCTTGGGATGGCGAACTAATCGTCGTGACAGCGCTACCACTAGGAGCAGACATAGACTGAAAATGTTGTACGTATAAGAACTAATAAAAAAAAACAATTTGTGATCAACGGCCAATCTTCATCAACAACAACAGTCTTGTAGAAAAGAGCGCTGAAGGATGAAGTTGCCTCATTCAAGTGGCGCTTCAGTGGAAAAGATTCGATTAATCAAGAGGACGAAGGACTGAAGGCCGACAATTTGGACCATTAGCTCTGAGGAAGGGGAAGGTGTCTATCTTTTAGCTCGATAATGTCTTTAACAACCACGTGGTAGCTTATCAATGAAATAAGATGCTAATGAAACATGTTCAACATGTAAGAAACTCGTCAAGTATGGAAAACAGGACAATTCAGCAGCGATAACTGGTCGGTAATGATAACGATATGAAGCTGTAATGTTCACTGGCATAAGTATATCTCAAACAATGCTTGATTTTGTACTCAGCATTCACAATTATTTCCACGGGTGCTGTGTGAAATACGACCACAATGATGCTAAGATATTTGCAAAATTTGCACCACAAACCGGATTCGAATCCTACGATTACCTTTAATGGGCTCACCTCTTTTCTACTGCACTACGGAGGTCTTTGCTTTGCTTCTAACTCGACCAGTTTTTTACCTAAAAGAGCGATTAACGGTCAGCGAGAATGTTTTGGGAAACACAAATCGGCATTGGAAAAAGTTAAGCGGACACTGTTGTCAAAATCACAGTGCTTAACTTTTTATTTATCCTCTATTATTTTTTTTACTGCTAGGTATTATGTGAAACACAATCAAAAGAACGCGTTGTGGCTGTATTTCCCAAACAATTTCCAGCATCTCAACAGTTATCTAGAAAACGAAGAAAAAGTACAGGATGAAAATTACCGAGCACGACGTCATGCTATATTTGAACGAGTTTTCTTAAGAGATCAGGCCGTCGACATCATCACAATTGGGTAATACTGGCCCAGCAAATGTGAATGTGAAAGTACTATTTCCATTCAGTCCGGGTGCAAACGGTTCCTTAATGTTTTTAGGTAGTATAGGTTTCTCTTATGTTCTACTAATTAGTACTTTTAATGCCTTCAAAACTTTCTCTTCAAATTCATTATTCGGACATGACTTAAAAAACTGTACCTGAGTTTTTGGACCGTAATTGGATAGACGAAACGGTCGTTGCACATGCGAGTTCCCATGTAACCGTTCTTCGATACGGGGAACAAGAGTTTTGCCGTTCATTGTTACCGTGGGTTACGTGCTAATGTTTGCGCATTCTAGGCTGATAGCCGTGTATCCTCACACATTGTGGCCATTTTCCAGGGGCAATGCTTATTCCAAATTGTGACGGATAAGTGGACGAATTTGCAAATTGAACGTTAAGTACTCCGAATGATATCCTCTCAGTCTGAGTCCGGCCCACCTTATCTTCGACTGTTTAGCGCACACAACGGCATCTTTGATTTCCGATCGTTGATGCAGATGGGATCTTCGGATCCCACCCCTTACTTGTGTGGAACGGGATATTCCTAGCATCGTTCTTTCGACTGCGCTTTAGATTACGCTGAGTAACCTTTCATCCTGCTCACGCTGCGACCAGGTTTATGACTTATACGCTAGGCAGGAAGTACCGTTGAGTCGGAAAGGTGGGCACGGAGTCGGGTGTTCTTTGTTCTCTTCACTACATCCTCGATGCTCTTGAAAGCTCCCCAAGCCGCTCGTTTTCTTCTGCTTAGCTCTGGAGCTAAGTCGTTTATCATATTGATTTTCCGACCTAGATAGATATAACTGGAGCATTCGGAGATATTCGTTCCGTTGAGCGTGAATGGGGCATGCGAAACTCATCCGTTCTTCATGAACATCGTTTTCGTGAGATTTAGTCGAAGACCAATCCTTCCACAGGCTTTATCAAAGTTGGCAAGCTTACGTTCTGCTTGGCTAATGTTTCGTGCTATAAGGACGATGTCATCAGCAAAGCGAAGATGGTGTAACCGTCGACCGTCGATTTTCACTTTCATATTATCCCATTCCAATGTTCGCATGACGTTCTGGAGCGTGGCCGTAAATAATTTTGGCGAGATGGTATCACCTTGCCTAACTCCAGTTTTGACGTCAATGTTAATATCGTTGTAGAATGGTGATATCTTGGTTGTGAAATTTTTGTACAGCTCACAAAGAATATTTATGTACTGAGTAGGGACTCCTTGACTATCAAGGGCTTCCCAGACTGCTTCCACCACAACTGAATCAAAGGCGTTCTGTAAATAGGTGAAAGTGAGACAGAGACGTCTTTTTTACTCTTGCGATGCTTCACTGAGCTGTGTTACCGTGTGGATGTGGCCCATCGTACTAAATCCTCTTCGAAACTCTGCTTGCTCATATGACTGTCCTTCATCCAGTGTTTTGTCAGTCTTGCCTAGGACAACTCGAGTGAAAAGTTTGTAGACGACAGATAGTAAGCAGATTGGGCGATAGTTGTCGATATCGTGCAGGTCACCCTTTTTGAACAATAACACGGTCTTGCTGGTCTTCCACTGAGTAGGGACCTTGCATTTAGACAGGTAACGTGTGAAGAGCCGAGCTAGTGTCTTTATGAGGACTAGCGGAAGGTTTTTCAGGTGTTCCGGTCTTATCCTGTCCAGACCTGGTGCTGTTCGATTTTTCACCGACGAAATGGCATGTCGTATTTCGGAAGAGAGAAGAGGTGATACATCATATTCATCCTCCCTTATTTCATATGACGGAAGGTGGACGTGGCAATCGAAGAGATCTGAGTAGTGTTCGTGAATGACTTTCTCTATTGCCTTTCTGGACGCTGTAACTATTCCGTCTGGGCGCCGGAGAGCAATCATTTTGGTCTTGTAATTGGCCAAGCTTCGGTGGGCTTTGCAAATTCTTTTCCCAGTCTCTGCAGCTTTGGCCATTACTGCTGCTTTTCTTCTCTAAGATCTTCTTTTATCGCCTCTCTGCATTGTTTTGCAAGTTCGGATGCCCGCGGTTGCCTACAGCTCGTGCGATTCCACGCTGGGGTATCAGCTCGAGTGTTTCTGGAGACAGACGTCTCTTGGTGATTTTCGATCTCTGAGCTTTCATAGCACTAGCATGAAGACGTTGAATGAGCCGATCGTGTTCTTTATCGATGTTATCGACAACGGCATCTTTCCAAGAGCAGACTAATGAATTGAATAAATCCCAGTTTACGGTGGTTTTGGGACTTCGGTTTTGGAATTTAGCCGCTTTTTCTCCTTTCCACGAGAAATAGAACCTTGCACGAAGGAGACGGTGGTCTGATCCTGTGTAGAATTTTGGGACAACTGCGGGATCGGTTAGGCAAAACTTCTATTTACTTTGATGTGGTCTATTTTGTTATGGTACTTGGGAGACTGGGGTCACCCATTGGGAGAGCTTCCACGTTCAGCGCTGAGGGTGGGGTTTCTGGAATTGCGAGTTAGCATGGATGGTCTTGGTCGCCATGATAAACCCAGATAGCCGCTCGTAACGTTCGTTCTATTCTAATCCTTTGTTCCAAATGTGACGTTCTCCAGACGTTCTTCTTCGCCCAATCTTGGGGTTGAAATCTCCAATGATAAGCTTGAAGAATGTGTGTCTTCTCTGTAGAACTTCTCCGAGTCCATATAGCACGCTTGAACTTCATCTTCGTCATAGTTTGGTGTCGGCGCGTAAACGACGAAAGTTATCGAAGCTGGTATTGGTCCACATCTTTTTAATCGTAAACGTCTGATTAGGGTTGTAAGCTGTTCGAATGAATCGCTTTTAATGGACAAACTCGTGTTAACGAGAACGCCGACGCTCCCGACTCTTCTACTGTTGCATGTTCCGTGAAACAGTTCTTCTCCGGTGTCATAGACGGCGTTGAAAGAATGGCGTCTCCTCGTCTCGACGAAGCCGATGACGTCGTACCTTATCCTTCTTGCTTGCATGAGCATATCTTCTATCGAGGACTCGGATGCAAGTGTACTTACATTTTAGGTAAAGATCGTCACCATAGTTTTTTGAAATCCAGGCGGCTTCCATTAGCCTTGAGATTTTAGCAGCCTTTCCGTACTCGTCCTACCCAACCCTGCGAAATTGGGGCTCTTTCGGGGTCAGTGGAATTAGGTCCGTTTTTTTTTACTGTGCTTAGCATTTTGGATACCCACGTATAGCTTGCTGGGCTCTGAACTTGGGGCTGGGTATACTCACGGGTGGCTTACCAGGCTCTCCCGGAGTGGACATGGAGCTTATTTGTTGGGAGCGACTCCTAACCGCCTCCCATATACTTCCCACTCACTTGATTGCAGGCTTTTGGCCGAATTGACCCGTAGAATACAGTCCGCATAAGCAAGAACGCACCCACACACACATATATGAATACGCTTAGCAAATACAGAAAGTATATACCAAATCAGAGCAGCAGAAATAGGGAGTCCACCTCCTGAATCCACTTGCGTCTCAGCGAAGCAAAGGTCGCTTTTGGTCCGCGAT